AGCACCCTGACAATTATTCTTTCTTATTAGCCATCTCAAGAAAAAGATGAGTTTATTTTAATAATAATTTCAGAATATGAAACAAATGATGTTAAAATTGTTTGTATGCTTGATTTTACACACACACACACACACACACACACACACACACACACACACACACGGTTCCCTTTTATCTCCTGTTCTTCCTTTTGTGAGTTATTTCCATTAACTCAAATACAAGGAGAAAAAGGTACCATAGAAACCCTTCTATAAGAAAAGAAATCCACCACCCCTACCCCATTGACAACCATGAGTTAAAATATAGTATTTTTCACAATAGACAAAATACTTTTATCTTCCCATGCAGCTTAACACGGAAAATTTAAAGAGAATAAAAAAAATTTTTTTATCTCCTAATCATACTGAAAAGATTAGGCTAATTATTATAAACATCTTGATGCTATTTATTTTATAGTATATCAATTTTATTTCAGTTTAAATGAAGAATCACACTTATTCAAAATTCTGCAACTTCTAGAAAATGAGTGAGTGGAGCCATTAGTTTAAAAAGTACAAGGTTTTTATCTTATAAAAACTTAAATGTTCAGCTATTAAAGATTTGATTTCTTTTAGTGTGTCATAGCTAGGTACATTTCTCAAAACCCAATAAAAATGTACAGAGTAAAGTTGTATTTGAAATGGTTTCACAGTTTACTAGTTTTCAGTATTATGGGTTTATGCATACCTGTATGTGATAATGAAACAATAATCAGGGTCAAAATTTAAAAGCACCACTTATTCTTCTTACCTCTTGTTTTATTGAAGGTAAATTCAGTATATATATCCCCACGTGCTTTTACAGCTCTGACGATCTTTATTTTTATTTTATTTTTTTTATTCTCACCCGATTACATTCTTCCATTTTTTGTTCAGACAGAGTGTGAGGGAGAGAGAGGAAGGGGGAGAGAGAGAGAGAGAGAGAGAGAGAGAGGAGAGAGAGAGAGAGAGAGAGAGAGAGAGATGAAAGGGACAAATCGAGTGGCTGCCACCAGGGCTGGGAACAAACTGCAACCGAGGTACGTGCCCTTAGCGGGAACCGAACCTGGGTCTCTCTGGACCCTAACCGCTGAGCCAAACCAGCCAAGGCAGCTCTGATGATCTTTAAAAGGCATCTCACATGAATGAAAAGAATGACCTACAGGTTTTCACGTGATGTCATATTTAATTTACCCTCCAGAGCAGTAAGTAGATCAATAGTTATGTGCCGAGAAACTGCTTTTCAATACCATTGTGGAGTATGTAAAAACAGAAAAATCAATTTCTCTTTCCTGTCACAGGAGATTCACTGTGTTTCCTATTGCTCATGGCAACAATAATCTCAACCTTTTATTTATGTTCTCTAAACTTGGAACATTGGAACTCAGTAGTAACATATTCAGAATGATTGAAACGGCTTTATTTGTCATCATTACTACTGTTACTAATAAGTTATTAGGCTTTTATATGTGGAATTGCTGAAATGAGCATTGTATGAAGCAAGTTTGATGTGAATTCTCTGGAGGTTTAATACTTAAAATTGTGCATGAAAATAAAGACTAAATATATACAAGATTTTGAAAAGTATAAGAAAGTTAAAGACAGTATGTTAAGAGGCAAGAACAACAGTATCTAGTTCTGTGTTCCACCTATTTTATTGAGCTATCAAGCTTTTTATTAAATCATTTTTAGCATGTTTGAAGCGATCCATACATTGTAAAGGCCTCATATTTTAAGTCAATGTCTTACTTTATAGTTTTGATTTCTCTTTCTATTCTCCTGACAGGACCTATAAAAGTTGAAATTTTAAATCAATTAATTTTGAGCTGCTGTTTCCTTTGTGATTGTCAAATACTTTTCAAAGCAAATACTGAAATATAGAAAAATTAAAACTGTAATTATAGACTTTTTAAAAAAGAACATCACTGTACATCTATACTTATTATGTCACTTGCAAGAAGAATACTCCAAGGAAAATTAATAGCCACAGATATTTTCATTATTAACTGAGAAAGATGAAAAAGAAATAAGCCTATTTACCAGCTCAAGAGTTATAGAAAGAAAACCAGTAAAATGACAACAGGGGTAAGGACTTAATAATGAATGTAAATACTGATGAATCACAAAGAAGAAAGAAAAGAATTAAAAATTAAATTCAAGATCTTGTTCTTTGATTAAACAACAACAAAACTAGATAAATCTCTGGCAAGATAATGGAAAAATGAGAAAAATATACATACCAGAAAATATAAAGGGGATATAAGCAACGAATGTAGATATTTTATGGAAAATAATATATGAAGTCCATAAGAATACTGGAAAATCTTAATGAAATTAATAATTTTCTTGAAAATTATCAATAGCCAAAATAGACTCCAAAAGAAATATGAAACAATACAATACATGACAGTACAGGAAATGAAACTTTTGAAAGAACCCTTCTTCCAAAATATGTGTGGTTCATATTCTTCACTCTGCACTTTGTATCTTTTCTGCATTTTAAGTATTTTTAAGCATAGACAATGTCAGAAATCTTTCCATAACATTTTCAAGATGGTAATGTAAGAGCAGGAAAAAAAACAAAAAACAAAAAAAAACTTCGAGAACCAGTACTTGAAAAGGAACCTACATGATATTCTTCTATGAAAATAGATTTTAAAATCCAAGGTTAAAAAAGGCAGCAATGAAGTCTAGAAGCATGTTAAAAATCATCTAAATGAGTATATCTAAGGGATCGATGTAAAGAAATTTATTAACATAATGCAACAAATGGTAACAACTCTAGGTTCATATTAAGAGATGCTGAAAAGACAGTTGATAAAATTCAACATCAATTATTGATGAAATAAAATTTTAGTAAACTAGAAATAAAAGGAGACTTTTATCTTACAGTGCATCACATTTAATGTGACTCACCAGATCTTGTTGAAGAGCAGCAATCCCATTAGAGTAAGGAAGATGACAAGGTCCATGTTATTCCCATTACATCACCCTGTTCTGAGAGTGCTGCTATAATGAGACAAAACAACAGCAACATTACACGAGAAGATCTAAGGCTAAGGAAGTTGTGTTTCAACAATTAAAATATGTTAACATTGGTAATCTGTGCTAGTGGCATTATGGGTGTTTTATACTGTTCTGTTTTGCTTTTCTGTATTTTCTGTACAGAACTTGTATTGGTCTTTTTATATTGTTTTTAAAATGAGATAAACATTGAAAAATCATAACTCAAAAGTGAAGAAATTTTCTTATATTCAGGTGAATGGCTTAGACTGCAATTCAGCATGTTACTGTTGTCAATCCTAGATGATTAAGTAAAAGTGAAAAAGACATTTGATACTTTTATGAAATTTATGGTTAAAGGAAAGCTAAATAAGACTTTTGTCTCTAACATGGCTTTGTTCCTTGATGCCAGTTATCAGTTTTGTTACAATCTCTATCTATTGGCTTTTCCTTCCCATGATAACTTTACCTTGTCTAATATTTGCCAAGATAAATTTATCTAGTCTGACTTTGTTTGTAGTTATGTGAGCTCTTCCTTGTAGGAAATTTCCATTTAACCTAATAGTGACATTTCTAGAATGACTGGGCTCACTTTTGGCTGCCTCTCCCTCTAGTACAACTTCTGACTCTGTGCACTGGCGACCAGGCTGGAGGAAGGGCGAAAGGCTTCCTCAGGTGGAGTTAGTGAACACAAATGGGTCATCTATGATAAAAGACCACCGTATCTAGGAGGGGAAATGATGTGACTCTCAAAGTGTTGACATTTTTCTCATTGTTGCTTTAAAAATCCAAACTTTGTGTTTAACATCAGTCACCCAACCTATTTTTTCCACTCATGGTTTTCAAACAATAAGGTGGAACTGGGGGACCCAGTTCATAAAGGGGCAATGTGGTAGAGAGGAAAGCCCTGACATCGGCCCTCTGTGGGGGCTTTTAGTGGCCTCTGTAGAGTGCTCACCAGGGAAAGATTATTTTCCTCTGTTTCTGTTACTCAGAGCATCTCTGAGGCTTTGCTGCAATTTCAGTTTTTACCAACGATGACTCGAGATGTGATGTGGTTCAGTGTGGTGGAGAGAGGGTTCGAGTGACACCTAGTCCACCCCTCCCATTGCCACCAATGCCTCGGACACCAGAGCCTTGATTTCCTCATTGTAAGATAAGTATAACAACAGCACCAGTGAGGTGCTCTTTGGAGGATCAAGGAAAGAACCCAGAAGACCTAGGTCATGGTAGGTTGCTCTTAATTGCTGCTCTGTAGCTTCACTGACCAATGTACTCACTAGTCACATGTGGCTACTTAAATTATTCCAAAATTCCACTTCACAGCAGTACTAGCCCCCTTTCAGGTGCACACCAGGCACCCATGCCTACTGGCCACCACCTCGTATAGTACAGCTATAGAACATTTCCATCATCACAGAAGCGTCCATGGGACAGCCCTGCTCTGTGTCATCAGCTGTGGTTTTGCACAACTGCCACACCTCAGGACTGACCACAATCATTCCCTTTGAATTGGAAGCTCTGCTAGGATGTTTACCTGCAGAAGTGTGAGTCGGGTAAGGCCATTCTTGCAAGGCCTTTGTTCACCAGAGATAGAAAGGAGTGATATTAGCTTCCCAAGTGAAGATAGCTTATCTGTCAACCAGATCCTTTAGGCCTGAAAAGATGGAAAGTTCATGCCAAGGGAAACCTCCAGAGAAGACTCAGTTCTTCCACCCTGCACTTAACCAAACAACAGAGTGGTGGGGGTGGGGGTAGGAGGGGGGTGGAGAGGGATTCTGACTTTGTGTCAGCAGAGGAAACATTCTTTCAAGGTAGAGTTTGCAAATGACAGTTAACCTGTTTTCCAAACAGTTTTTTCGTAAATAACTGACAGGAGATGGGCTGCTTCTATCAAAGTATTAACCCAAGTGATGGGGGTTAATCATTAAACCTTGTAGCTGGTGGCTTGCTTGTTTCTCTGATATTCTAATCTGGGTCACAGAATGGCTAAAGCAGCTTTAAGTGGAGGGTGGATTATTTTTCCCTTGGTTTGTCTTGTGTTTTCCTCTCTGAAAGAATGTTGTGGCTGTTCTTTTTTCTTGTGACTGCTATTCATGCTGAATTCTGTCAACCAGGTATGTAGCCTTGAAACTTCAAAATAAATTAATGGTTTTCTAATGTTTGATATGTCTTTGACTGAAAGACCTCTTTATTTTTCAAAATCTATAGACGTGTTATGGCTTGAAACTTGAGCTGTGACTGTTTTATGAGTTTGAAAGAAAAATCTAGACCATCTAAGGTGATTACAGTTAAAGTTTCAGGAATTTTTGGGGCAGTTTAATTGCACTTGTGTTCTGTTGACTTGATTTGCATTAAATATTAGGATTTTTAGGTCCAGTTTTGTCAGATTTTATCATATACTGCTCTTTTTTTTTTGGCAGATGCAGAAAATGCTTTTAAAGTGAGACTTAGTATCAGAACAGCTCTGGGAGATAAAGCAGTAAGTGAAGAACCTGCATGTTCATTTTAAATTTTGTTTGCTAGTAACATTGTACTTCCTCTAATAATCAGCCTCTCTGCGTAGTTATCTTAAAGTTGTACAGATTGCTTCTAAGGACCTCAAATCTAATATCTTCTTAAAGTAAAAATATTAATGTAAAATCAAAATTATTAATAAAATGATGTTGCCTAAATTACTTTATCTACAGTTTATGCTAGAAAATATGTGAAGTTTTGTATTACACAAAACAATTTTGCACCCTTGAATCCAGCATAGTGCAGTAAAGGGACCTGAGTCATGCAGTTGGTCTGGGTTGGATTCTGTGCTTCACATTTGTGGTCATTTGAATTTTGTTAGCTTCAGTTTCATAGTCATTGAAAAGAGGTGATGTTACACTCACATAAGATCTTTCATAGCACAATATTTTCAAATTCTAATGTGAAGTTTCTTTAATTCTTCTTAAATATAAAAATAACATAAAATATATACTTACAAAACTGAAATTTAGTAAACACTCATAGAGCTCATGTAGTTACAGGAACAGTAAAGAGTGTTGAATTAATAAGATGTTATTTTGTAATTCTATTTTCATTTCTTCAGTATAGTCTATGAAAATTGCCCCCAATAGAAGGTGATATTGAGATGCCTTAGTCTGGAAACAGTAAAGGAGTGGTAAAGAAACTTAGAACTATTTTGTTTGGAGGTGATATTTTATTTTATTCACTCAATGAGTAATAATCATTATGGCAGCCAACATTTATTGAGAACCTAGTTTACTTTTTAGCTGGGCCGCTTCTAAGCACTTTGCTCACATCAGCTCATTTAGCCCTTATAACAACCCTCTGAGGAAGGTAGTACAGGTATTCTTATTTTCACCAGATGGGTGAGAGGTGCAAAGAAATTAAGTGACCTGCTCAAGATCTCATATCAGCAAGTAGCGGAGGTAAGATTTGAACCCCGATAGCCTGGCTGCAGCATCCACTCTCTCTACCAGTGTATAGGCTTGGTTATCTTAGGATCTTCTGAGAGCAGGCACCATGCTGGATTTTGGGGATGCAGAGCAGCTAAAATCAGGCTTGTCCCTGCCCTTGTGGGGCTTATAGCAGTGGGAGAATTGGTTGTCCATTAAATGGTGAACTGAATGCAAAGGTGCAACCTGGACAAGTATTACAGGAAGGAGAAGTACAAGGGGGCTTTGGCCTCATCAGGAGCCTCAGTACTTGACATTTGCTGTGAGGTCTGAAGCATGAGTAGAAGCGAACTCGGTTAAAAGAAAAAATGGCAGAGGAAACAGTATGTGCAAAGGCTTATTACATGAAGGAACTTGGTGAAAGTGAAGGGTGGAAGGAAGACTGAGGTGTCTGGAACTGGAGTAGTGAGGAAGAGCATGACACATGATGAGCTTAGAGAGAAAGGTTGGGTCAGGCCAAAGAATATGTGGACTGTTTGGGGAATTTTGATATCTTTAAAGCAAGTGGGGGTTTTATGGAAGAGATGTCATGATAGAATTAGTGTTTGGAAGACAATTTAACCACAGTGTGGAAGACAGATTGGAGGGCACTAGAGTAGAAAGGTGGCATCAGTTAGGAGGTGATTGGAATAGTATAGGTGAGAGGTGATGTTAGTTTGAGAGTAGTGAAGGGATTCGAGAGCCACAGGGATGGTATGACAAGGAAAGGGAGAAGGAGGAGTCAAGGATGAAGCTTTTGTTTCTAATTATGTAACTGGATGGGTAATGTCCTATTAATGATCAGGCAACCAGGTAAAGACAAGAACAGGCTTTAATTTTTAACTTGTGTTTGTGCTTTTATTGACAAATAGGCAAAGACAGAGCCGGCTTGAGATATACATTCCTGAGTCATTTGCTCTTAGGTGATAATGGAAAGCTTGAGTAAATGTAGAGTGCCAAGAGAAGAGAAGCTTTGAGTTTCTCTAAAATTTGAAGCCCTTGTAGAAGAGGGTGAAACTGTAAGGGGGGTAAGGCGCAGGAGGAAAACCAGGAAACTCTTGTATCGTAATAGAGAAGAGAGTGCTTCAAGATGAGAGGAGTTTTCAAGAGTCGCAAATGCTGTTGAGAGGCCAAGCAAGATGAGACTGGAGAATGCTCATTGTGTTAAGCAATGTGGAGGTCACTGGTTACTTTAGAGAGAACGGTTTTATTTTTTTTTAGAGTGGTAGAACTGGGAGGCAGATAATGAAAGGGGTTACGAAGAAGTTGGTGGTGAACATATAATGAGAAAGGACAACTCTTTCAAGAATTTTGGCTGTGAAGAACCAGTGAGAGACAGAAGTAGGTGGAAGGAGGAAGATTGAGTAAAGTGATTTGGCTTTGCTTTTGCTGTTCTTTTAAAGGGAAATAGTTGAGTGTGGTTAAAAGTCAATGGACAGGCTTAAGTGAGCATTGAAGAACATGAGCGGGGAAACTGATATTGTTTAGATCCCGAGAAGGGCAGAAGGGAAGTGTTCCTAATAGGAGTGAGTGGAACTGCTATTGATAGGAGGAGAAATACTACTTTTCACCCTTCAGGGAAGGATGTGGATAGGATGTGTGTCTATGGAGGAAGTTTTGTATTTGGTGACAAGAGGATTGGGGAGTTTAAATTGATGACTTGAGATATATCTATAAATTATGAAACAAGAACATCTAGTGAGAGTGAGATGTGAGGGAAAGCAGTGAGATTTGGAGGGCCTGAAGAGGGCCTGAAATAGTCACTGTGAACCATGAGAGAGAGAAAACTGATGGAGATAACTCAGGCAGTTTGGGAGTAGGTTACCATGAATTCAGAGTTAAACCTATAAACCCTTTTGTGACTTTCTCCAGTAATACTTGATTGCTCACCTATAATGTGAGGTCGGCCACATTAGTTTACTAGTGCTGCTGTAACAAAGTAACACAGACTGGGTCACTCACACAGCAGCAGTTTATTTTCTCTCAGTTCAGGAGGCTAGAAATCCAAGGCGTCATCAAGGTTGGTTCCTTCAGAGTTTCACGAGGGAAGGATTTGTTCCAGGCCTCCCTCCTTGGCTTGTAGATGGTTGTCTTCTCCCTGTATCTTCACATGTCTTCCTCCAGTATATCCAAATTTCCTCTTCTTATAAGTACACCAGTCATATTGGATTAGGGCCTACCTTACTGATCTCATTTTAACCTGATTATCTTCATAAAGATACTACCTCAGAATATGACTACATTCTGAGGTTGTACTGGGATAGAACTTTAAAATTAATTTTTGTGGGAAGGGGGTGTTCCAATTCAGCCCATAACATGCATTTACACTCAGGTTTCCAGCTAAGAAAATAAAAAGAACATTTGTACTGATGTTAATAAAGGAAGGGAAGCTGAGACAGGGAATCAGGTTCTGAGGCAAGGGAGAAAGGGAAGAAGGGAACCGACTGTATTTGTTCAGGATGAAATGTCCAAATGTCCTATTTATTGACCGGTTACTAATACCGCAGATTCTGAAGAAGATAATGCAATGGGAAACACAGAATGTCCAAGAAACTCTATGCTGAACATTATGTTAATGTGATTTATCACAGTGTCCAGTTTTTACTGAGAGAGAGAGAGAGAGAGAGAGAGAGAGAGAGAGAGAGAGAGAGAGACACCCCCCCCCCACTGTGGCCACAGTTAGAACCCAGTGTACCATTTTTTACCTCATGCCTCTTTGCTTTTCATTTTCTATTTTACTTGTCTTCAGTATGCCTGGGATACTAATGAAGAATATCTCTTCAAAGCAATGGTGGCTTTCTCCATGAGAAAAGTTCTCAAGAGAGAAAAAACAGAGTAAGTAAACAGTGACAAATCTTAATTGATAACTTGCTATATTATTTGAGAATTTGAAATTATTTGAAAATAACATTCATTTCATTTTACTAGCAAGGGTGGGGAACCTTTTTTCTGTCAAGGGCCATTTGGATATTTATAATATCATTCTTGGGCCATACAAAATTATTAACTTAAAAATTAGCCTGTTATATTTAGTTAGGCTAATTTGGTGAGGCGTGTGATGTTAGCTGGTAATGATTTCTCAGACCTTACACAGTCTGGTGGCCAGATGTTCCCCACCCCTGTAAGGGATCCACATTTTTGCTTAACATTAAAACAACAACAACAACAACTTGTAATCTAGCTCAGCTTACAGTTTATGTCATGTTTTAACAATGCTCTTCATTCAATGGGTACTATGAAGACAAATATTAAAACATTGTAGTCATATGTCATAAGCTTTCTACATTTCTATTATATACATATTTCTCTTGATGAATAAATAGATAGGATAGATAAGAACTCTACTCTCATTGTATTAGTCAGCTTGGTCTGTCATAACAAAATACCACAGACTGGGTGGCTTAAACAACAGAAGTTATTCCTCACAGTTCTGGAGGCTGGAAAGTCCAAATTCAAGGTGCTGCCAAGGTAGGTTTCATTCTGAGGGCTCCTCTTTTGGTTTTCAGGTGCCCCCAGATCATTGTGTGCTCATTTGACCTATTCTTTATTAAGGGGGAAGTAGAAGGGGAAAGAGTGAGCTCTCTGGTATCTCTTCTTCAAAGGACACTAATCTTGTATTATCAGGGTTCTACCTTATGACCTAATTTAGTCATAATTGCCTCCTATAGGCCCTGTCTCCAAATACAGTCACATTTGGGGTTAGGGCTTCAAGATATGAATTTGAGGGTAGGGGGACAAATAAGTCCATAGCACTCATTTTGAAAATAAATATGTATTGATGGTATCTATCATAGCACCTTGTTTATTTTCTTAACAGCTATAGTACAATTTTAATAGCTTTACATTTTTATATATTCTTCCAGAGGAATTTTCTCTAGTTGTGATGGTTCCTACCATCTCTATCTGCGATTAAGGTAACACATCTGGTTTTTCTCTATTCTGTCCCTTATTCTTCCCTTTGAGAGGTGAAATGACTGATCTGATTGGTGAGCTGGAAGGAGAAATTGGGCATGGGTTGCCTTGTCTTTCAGAGCCTTCCTGCCCTCAGATTGCAGCTATTTTTCTGTGCAGCTTCCTATGCTAAGTACAGAATCTGGCCCTGCATGGGTAGGCTGGGTAGGCGCATAACCCTGGAAGGCTGTGTGTGTTGGTTACAGCTGAGGATTGTTTAGATTGGTAGGTGCAGATCATAAGATGTTTAATATCTTGCATATGACTCCAGTATGTGGCGATACCTGCCTTAGTTCAGTTCTACATGGGACACTGTAGAGGAATTGATCTCATTTCTGGATTTTTTTTTAATTAGTAAGGAAATTTGTCTGCTGATTAAAGTCATATCCTCTAACCCAGCCTTTTATTTTGGTCTCCTATCTGCTTTATTCTTTTGTATTAATTTTATAATGCTTTAGAAGTTGGCAAAGAGTATTGCTATTTATTGGTCTCCCCCAAACCTACACAATATATGATGCATGGGCTGTGAACACAAAGGATAAAGTAGAAGAGTGGAATTTGGGGGAGCAAAATAAATATACAATCCATGTATTTGTGTGTAAACACACACACATCTATATGCATATATATTTAAAAATAGGTAATATATTAATGATTCAAGAAATTAAAAGAACAGGTTCTGTAGCAAAAGAAAATTATACCCTAAGTGAACTCTACTCCTACTTTATAGATTTTTAGAAAAAATGTATTTGCTTTAATCTTATGCCATTAAACTTTAGCATTCTTTCTATAACTATTTATAATAACCTTCTCCAATAAATATTACATAATAGCATTACAAAAATTCAAAAGAAAAAATATAAGGATAAAAGCTACTGGTCATCTCACAATACTAATCCCTCAATTGGTCTAGTTCTTCTTGTTCAGCAGGTTTTATATGTTACTGTGTTAATATTGCTATTATTTCCTCCAAGTGCCTACATTTAATCTTATGAATGACTATGTTAAATGAGATGCTTCTATTCTTAGAAAAAGTTCATTTAAACATTTCAGATTAATTCTGAGGAATTCACTTATGAAAAAAAATTTTCCTCAGAACCTGGGGCATCGTAGTGCATACATTGTCAGGACTATTTGCAGCTGCCACCAGAACAGCAGCACTTGGTGTCCTAGAGGTTATGATGCTATCCCCAGTCATCGAGGGTATACTGTGGGATGGAAACTGGTGCCTGCTTCTGAGCCAGACAAGTCTAAGGTGCAAGGCTGGCTTCAGCCCCATGTGACTGCGGTGAGAGAGGGCGGCTTTGTGAGTAGTCTGTACTTGAATGTGCTCCTGGGGCCAAGTGGAGGCCTGAAGGGAGCTGCACGGAGTCACTGCCTGTTGGGGCCGAGAACCAATTGCAGGACAAAGAGAAGGCGGTAGAGTGAGGCTGGAAGTCACCCTTGAAGGCAGAATATAGGGTGAGATGGAACAAGTTGGCCAGAGTGCCACACCCATGTCAGGGGAAGGTGTACTCCCCAGATCAGTCTCCAAAGGGCCCACAAGTGCATTCTGAATGGAGAACATGAGAACACCCACTATAGCAGTGAGAGGGGCCACAGAGAGCCCTGGCTAAGGAAAAAGAACTTTGCTTTTTCTTCTCTGACTCCTGCCCTCTCCCATTTCCCTTTTCCATCCCTAAGTATGCCAGAATGGGGGATGGGAGAGGGGCGATGTGCAGGAGGACATGGAGCACTGAGAGTAAAAGAATGGAGCAGACCCTCAGGCCAGCACCTCTGGAAGGAGAAGCTGTGTGTCAGAGTCGGGAAGACAGTTTTGATCTGAGTTTTGATCAGACTGCCCTGAACTTTTTAATAACCAGAAGTAACAAGCTATCCAACTGCTCCAAATGCTGTCAAGCAGTGGGGAAGCAAGAGCTGACAGGGGGCCCATAGGAAATGGTGTGAGAAACATGGACCTCTTTCTTTATAGTGGTCTACTGAGGCGAGCCTGTTGAACCGCATTGCTGTGGTTGGATCCACAGAATTAAATTAAGAATTGAAAGTGTACTAGGTAGTAGGCACTGATATTTATAGAATGAGTAAAACCAGGTTCCACACAGCATGTCCCACTCGCCCCCACGAATCTGGCCCTGGCAGAAATTATAGGACAATGGACTAAATATGATTCTTTTGGAATCATTACTTACAAATCTTGATATCAAGTAGGTTTCTTGCTATTTTTGGATTTTCTTAAAAGCAGAATGGAAGAGGGATAGAAAAATGTAAATGATAGAAAGTTTTGGTTTCATTATGTCAGGTTACTTGAAGTTTTCTTGGGATTTTGATTGAAGATGACAACAGTGTTTTCAAGATTTTACAATAGATTTACTAAAGTAGCTTCATAGGAACTTTAAAATATTGAAAGTCATTTCTATGGAAAATATAATCTAAGTTTAAACTTTAGTCTGTTTCCCAAATAAACTGGAAATTTATCTGCCTCTTTTACTCAAATATTGGATTTTAAGATAATTTATCATGTTTAGCAAGAGAGGTGGAAGTCTAACTCAGGCATGATATTTTCTTTCTGAGTTAAATGGTGTAGGGCATGGAATGAGTTTCCCTCTCTGCCTACTTATTCAAGGATAAGTCTTATGATCTAAAACAGGAACAACGTGCTGCTGTATCCATGGTAAGGGGATTAACAGTCTTGTGCTTGTAAGACAGCAGCCCAGCTCCTATTTAGTCCTTTTGATTTCCAGAAACAAGAGCCTGATTCTTACCATCCCTTGGATGCAGTTGGCCCTGTCTGGCGCCATTGATGAGAAATCGCAGTGTGGCCAACTCTTAGAGAATCACCTTCTGTCCAGGGCTCCCCACACTTGCGAAAAGGCAGTGGACACTTTTACCTTTTGAGTGATTTGCTGAAAGAAGCCACTTGTGTATGGTTAAAATCATTTCTTGGTAAAAACAATTGATCAAAATGATCATTGAAGTAAACTTAAAGAATCCCATCAGACCCACCTATATGTATAGTCTGAAAATGTAGATATTCTGTTTAGCTGTGCTAATGGTATTTCAGTTTATTATATTAAAATATACTTTATTTATTTATTTTATTTTTTTAATCCTCACCCGAGGATATTTTTCTATTTATCTTCAGATAGAGTGCGGGGGGGGGGGGGAGAGAAACAGAAACAGAAACATCGATGTGAAAGAGACACATTGACTGGCTGCCTCCCTCATGACCCCGACCAGGGTTGGGGACGAACTGCAACTGAGGTACATGCCCTTGACTGGAATCGAACCTGTGACTCATTGGTCCATGAGACGACATTCTAACCACTGAGCAAAACTGTCCAGGGCTAAAATACAGTTTCAAAAGCATACTTAGCTCAATAACTGCTTGTGTGTTGATTAATTTTTCATTTTGTGCAAACATTTGAGGAACTTGAGTGTGGTCCCATTTGGATGAAAGAACATGGAAGAAGTCACCCTATTTGCATACAATCTATAAATGGAAGGAATTTGTGTCCATTGGTTGCTGGGTTAACCACTAAAGTACAATCAGGGTTCATGTTACTTCCATTTTAGCACCAAATTTCCTCACATATACGCTTCCTCTTGGCTACCCCTATCTACATTATATTCGGGAATCTTCTTACACTGGAAAGTAATCTGTGTTAGTGTGTTGTCTGGATATCTCTGAGCGGGTAAATGAAGTTCTGTGGAAGTAATCTCCCTCCTTTCCTTTCCCCCTTTTTTATTTTCACAGTCCTGACCCAATTTACTTTCCGTTTGTCCCTCTTAGAATAAAGCACAGTGAGTAGAAACAAGGGAGTTTATTACTCCATTCTATAATTCATTCATCCACCCATTCATTTCATAGTCACTAAGTGCTCACA